CAAGTGATTTTGACGGCGTTGTCGGGGTCTGGTGTTCTATTCTCAAAAATCCCACTCCACTGCCACATGGCAAAGTTTCATTATGGCATCAAGTAACTGCCAACACGAGAAGTAAAGTGTTCAGTGCTGGAATATTATACATTAATTATGCAACGCTCTGTTGTTCTGCCATGCTGATGAGTGATAAATTTTTTTTTACTTTTTTTATCTTCAACTGACAGTTCTCATGTTATTTGAATTACATTGATTGGTCATCACTAATGATTCCTTCACAAAGGAAAAAAAAATAGCGGGGGATCTGCTGTTGAGATCAGGTGTGAATTAGTGATTGTTAAAGGCTAGTAAACCAGAGTCACATGTTTTTGAATCAGGAACATCGGTGAGCATGAGAAGTGGCATGTCTTTGTGGGAATAGCTCAGTCTTTGTAGTGAGACAGACTGGACTTACATGTTGGCTGTGCCGGTTTGCAACATTGACATTCTCTCAATCTTAGTTTGCTCATATGTTAACAGGAATAAAAATGCCCAACTCTTGGACTTAGTGTTAGGGTTAAGCAAAATGTGTGACATCTGGTACATATAGTATGAGTTTAATAATTTAAAGCTAATATTATTTTTATGTGCAAAGTCAATGGACAGAGTTGGCTATGAAAACCTTTGCATGTAACAATACCAAGATTATTCTATCATACCATCTTTGCATATCCCATTTATAAACAAGGAAAGGTGGGCTTATAGGGTCCCAGAGATAGAATGGTGTAATGCTCTTTCTTTGAGACAGAAAAGGAGAGTATATATGATTTTTGGTGAGTGTATTAGTTTTCTATTGCTACTACAACAAATTATCACAAACTTAGCTGTTTAAAACAACACAAATTTTTTTACCTTAGAGTTTTGTGGGCCACAAGTCTGACATCGTTCTCTCTGAGGCTGAAATCATGGTACCTGCAGGGCTGCATTTCTTTCGGAAGGATCTATGGGGGAGTCTGTTTCTTGGCTCATTCAGGCTGTTGGCAGAATTCAGTTCCTTGTGGTTGTAGAATTGAACTCCTCATTTCCTAGGCTATCAGCTGAGGACCATATGCAGCTTCTAGGGGCCACCTGCATTCCCTGGCTTAGGCACCCCTTTCTCCATCTTTAAAGCTAGCAATGACAGGTTGAGTTCCTCTCAAGTCCCCACTCCTCTACCCCTTCTTCTGTTGTTGCATCTTTCTGAGCACTCTTCTGTCCCCTTTTTCCACTTCTAAAAACTCATGCGGTTGTATTGGATCCACCTGAACAGTCAAGAGAAATGCTCCCATTTCAAGACCCATACCTTAATCACATCTGCAATGTCCCGTTTGCCATGTAGAGTAACATATTCACCCATTCTGTGGATTAGGGCATGGATGTCCCTGGGAGGGGAGGAGTTATTCTGCCCACCAAGTGAGAAATAGCATACAAATGTGTCTTCCAAGTATGGAATTGTTATGCATGATTCACATTATGTTCCGCTTGGCAAAATAAATGAGCTGGTGTTAACAATATCCACTTATACAGACAAACAACACATGATTGTGCCTAATTTGGCTTCCACTTGCCCTCCTTGCCTCTCACCATTCTTATTCCTCTTCTGATGATCTATAACATTATAATGAACTTCTAGTTTCCAGAAGGAGAATGAATACACAAGCAACAGCTAGGCCATATATAAAACTCTGGCACACATAAGAAGCCCAGGAAGCCAAACCATAACCTCTGAAGCAATCAGCCCAGAATAGTCAGGACTTGGTCAACAACTATCACCTTCTCTATTTTTTGTCCTCCTTGCTCTCTGCTTCCAACTCAGGACCAACCAGAGAAAGCCAAACCAATTGCATAGGATGCTCTGGTTCTTTCAATAGTTAGCCCACCTCCAGCTCCCCTGTGCCAGCAACCTGCAATTAGAGTACCCTGAAGCCTTCTCTTTTCCTATATAGCTTTCCCTCTTCCCCGACTAGCTTTGAGTATCTGCCAAGCACAGGTGATGGTGGCTGAGTCCCTTGCTATAGCAAACTCTGGATAAACAGACTGTTTCTAATTTGGGTGGTCTTTATTTCCACATCTCCTTTGGTCTTTTGTACATTTGTTTCTCTCCTTTATCTTCCTGTATCTTTTCTCTTTGCCTTAGGTGGATAATTTATATTCATCTTTTAAGTATCAACTTAGACATCACTAATAACAATAATAACAACAATAATTATTTGTTACAATGATAGCTAACTGATACTGAGCCCTTACCATATGCCAAGAACTGTTCTAAGCATGTTCAATTTATCAACTCATTAAACTTTCACAATTATTAATTGAAGAAGGTTTCTATTATTATCCACATTTCACAGATGGGGAAAGATAATTCAGAGAGATCAAGGAACTTGCCCAAGGTCAAGGAGCTGCTAGGTCAAGGGGTTGGGATAGAATTTAGGTGGCCTGGCACCATAGTTCACTTATGAAACCATTTTGCTACATCGATTTCAGAATATGTTTTCGAATGCCCTGAGTTTGGGGTGGGTATCTCTTATCATATATATAATTGGACTCTGCTTTCTCTTTACTAGTAGTAGAGTGTTGTAATTGTTTATTGCTCAATCTGTAGTACCTCCTAATTAGCTCCTTGAGGACAAGGATGATGTTTATTCTGCTTATGTTTATATGTCTGTCAAAGTTTCTCTATCAATGTGTATTTAAGAAATGAATGATTGAATGAATGAAACATGTAAAAGTCTGAATTATTATTAGTTTTTAAATTAAACAATACTAAGTTAAAAAAAAAAAGAAAAGGACCTTTCCTGTAGGCAAACTTTTAGTGTAGCACAATTCTACATATGACTTTACAAACTTTATTTAGGAAACAGCCTCTGGCAAGAGGTAGCCAGATTATGCACAATCGTGTGTTGTCTGCCTGTAGTAAGTGGGCATTTTTAACAAGAAAGCTTCTCTTTGGTAAGCTTAGGTTTGCTCCATACTCATTTCATTTACTTATTTATTTCAAAATATTACGGGGGTACAAGTTTTTTTTTTTTTCCCATGGATGAATTGTATAATGTTAAAGTCAGGGTGTTTAGAGTGCCTGTTACCAGAATAGTGTATGTTGTACATGATAGGTAAGTTTTTATCCCTCATGCCTCTCCTATCTTTCCCCCTTTATAGTTTCCAGTGTCCTTTACATCAGGTTACGACCGTATGTACCCATTGTTTAGCTTCTACTTATTAGAAAAAACATGTAGTGTTTGTTTTTCCATTCCTGAGATACTTTACTTAAAATAATGTATTTTACAGCAACTTGGAAGGTCTTCAATTCCTTCCAAGTTGCTATAAAAGACATTATTTTATTTCTTTTGATGGCTGAGTAGTAATCCATGGTGTGTGTGTGTGTGTGTGTGCATGTGTGAGTGTGTGTATACACACACTATGTTTTCTTTATCCACTCATCAGTTGATGGCTCAATGGTTCATTCCATATCTTTGCAATTGTGAATTGTGCTGCAATAAACATTTGGGTGCAGGTGTCTTTTCCATATAATGACTCCTTTTCCTTTGGTTAGATACCCAGAAGTAGGATTGCTGGATTGAATAGTAGATCTACTTTTAGTTCTTTGCGGAGTCTCCATACTGTTTTTTCCATAGAGGTTGTACTAATTTACAGCCCCACCAATAGTGTATAAACATTCCTTTTTTTTTTTTTTTACCTTATCCACACTAATATATATTGTCTTTTTATTTTTTAATAATGGCCATTCTGATAAGGGTAAGGTGGTATCTCGTCGTGGTTTTAATTTGCATTTCCCCGATGATTAGTGATGTTGAGCTTTTTTTTCTTTTGGATGGTTTTTGGCCATTTGTCTAGCTTCTTTTAAAAAAGATCTGTTCATGTCTATTGCCCACTTTTTGATGGGGCTATTTGTCTTTTTTTTGTTGTTGATATGTTTGAATTCTTTGTAGATTCCGGATATTAGTCTTTTGTAGGATGTATAGTTTGTGAATATAGTCTGCCATTGTCTATTTACTCTGTTGGCTGTGTCCTTTTCCATGCAGAAACACTTTAATTTAAGTCCCATCATACTCAATTTAAATATAAAACCATGTGACTTACTAATATCAGCCTCTCTTCAGAAAGTCTCTTCCAAGTTAAGAGTCATCATTAGGCTAGATGCAACATCTCTTGGCTTTGGTTTCTGAGGCAGAGCATCTTCAACTTAATAACATTCTTTTGAACTCTGTAATAATTTTTAAAACTCTCTCTCACACACATGCAGTCCTGGCAGAATTGGCTGAGAACCAGGAGTGGCTATGTTTGACCATGGACTAAGTCAGAATTTTAAAGCAAACACCTAGCTGGGTAATCTGAATGTCCCAAGCCTCTGTCTAGCTTTCCTTGTGACCCACATTCTGGAACAGAAGCTGAGCTCTTGTTCATGTCCAGTGGGTCTCTTTTCCTAGGCTTGTGAGACAAAGAGGTCTGGAAAAGCACTCAGGCAGTCATCTGGATCAATTCCTCTACTTTATATTTAAAGATGCCATGAAGATCTACTCCTTCATTCAACAAACATTTATCTCCTAAATTTCTTTTATTGTTTCAAGATTTGGGGATACAGATGTGAAGTAGACAGACAAGACCTCTGCCATCATGGGGCTTGTGTTCTAGTGGGGTTAAGAAATGAAAATGAGCATATAAATAAATAAATCTCAAAGGTGTGAAAATAATATAACGTCAGATAATAATGACCTGCCCAAATATCCATTTCAGAACATGTATCTTCTAATCAATCCATTGCAGTCTTACTCTTCGATCAGCCAGTTTTCTTTGGAATTTTTCACATTTTCTCTTAGCCTTTCTTTGGTTATATCTAGGATGTAATAAACCTTACTTTAAATAGAAGTTATTTAGAAAATTATTCCTGATCCTCTCCCTTTTAAAATTTATTTTCCACATAGTAAGAATAAGTTTTCTTCTCATACTTTCTGCTTTTTTTTTTCTCCTAGGAATTGACTATTACAACAAGATCATTGATGATTTGTTAACAAATGGGGTTACGCCCATAGTGACACTCTACCACTTTGATTTGCCTCAGGCTTTAGAAGACCAAGGAGGTTGGTTGTCAGAGGCAATCATTGAACGCTTTGACAAATATGCTCAGTTTTGCTTCAGTACCTTCGGGGATAGAGTCAAGCAGTGGATCACCATAAATGAGCCTAATATTCTTGCCATGTTGGCATATGAACTAGGTAGCTTTCCTCCTGGTATACCTCACATTGGGACTGGAGGTTATCAGGCAGCTCATAATATGATTAAGGCTCATGCCAGATCCTGGCACAGCTATGATTCTTTATTCCGAAAAAAGCAGAAGGGTATGGTGACCCTATCAATTTTTGCTAGCTGGTTGGAACCAGCAGATCCCAACTCAGTGTCTGACCAGGAAGCTGCTAAAAGAGCCATCGCTTTCCACTTGGATTTCTTTGCTAAACCCATATTTATTGATGGTGATTATCCGGAAGTTGTCAAGTCCCAGGTTGCCTCCATAAGTAAAAAGCAAGGATATCCATCATCAAGGCTTCCAGAATTCACAGAAGAAGAGAAGAAAATGATCAAAGGCACTGCTGATTTCTTTGCTGTGCACTATTATACTTCTCGCTTAGTCAAGTACCAGGAGAACAAGAAAGGAGAACTGGGTCTTCTCCAGGATGTGGAGATTGAATTTTTTCCAGATCCATCTTGGAAAAATATAGATTGGATCTATGTGGTGCCATGGGGAATACGTAAAGTACTGAAATATATCAAGGTAAATGCATGATTTGTCTATGTTCATGAACAACAAAGATGTGAAGGTGGCAAGACAAGCATATGCATGTGTGTATGTGGATTTGAAAAGTAATTATTTTAGATAATAGCATGTACCTAAAATACATGCTACTTGTTGGGCTGGGAAGAGCATGTTAGAATTTTAGCTGGTGAGGGGGTAAGTCACCAGTAAAAGAATTCAAAAGCAGTGGTCAAAGTTAGGATTTGTTGTCAAAGTCAGCTGTGGCTATAGGAGTAGTTTCAATATATTTCTCAGGCTAATGTCATGACTATGATTATTAAAAGGCATTTTAAATCTTGAGATAGGTGGAATTTTTTTTTTTTTGGTCTCAGCCATGCTGGATAGCATCCAGGTAGCTGAAATTAAAATTTCAAGTACAGGTTTTCCGGATCTCTCCTGTGAGGGATACAGAATGTAGCTGCTGGCGGGTCTGAGGGGTTAAGGAGAAGTGACAATCAGCAGATGTTGATAGAAGAAAGACATTTCTGTCTTCTCATTATAATAGGAGTCATTTGATTGTCTTCATGGACATTTGCACAGTTTTGCTTTTTCATTGTTACTCATAAAAGGTCAGTGCATGGAAAATTAAGTTAATAGGGTCAGTACAATTTGATGAAAACTAGTTTTGGGGTTGTAACTTTGAGAAGATAGAGGGTAATGCACCTGATTTTATGAGTTTTTTTTTTTTTTTAAAAAACATCTGTTCAGAATAAAACTTCTGTTCTCTTTTTCTAGGATACGTATAATAACCCTGTAATTTACATCACTGAGAATGGGTTTCCCCAGCTTGACCCCACGTCTCTTGATGACACTCACCGCTGGGAGTATTTCAGACAGACATTTCAGGAACTATTCAAAGGTACTATTTGAAATGATGAAAGATCAATTGTGCAAACTTAATATAATTTTCCCATGTGCTTATTTGCATTCAGCAAAGACCAATGATTTTTGAAAGCTGAAGTTCATGTAAATCAATGTAAAGCCATGTAATTAGGAGAGGAGAGAAAAAGTATTTAGGAAAGAAGGGGAGGATTTTGGCCTACCTTCAACCTCCTGAAATTGAATCAAGTAAAAAGTGACTATCTTCAGCATTTTGTGACTCCTGGGTGAAGGTGACAAGAATAGAAGGAGTGGTGGCTGCTGGGAAAGAATATTAGTTATTACAAAAAAGATTAGCACTGATCGACTGTAGCATGCTCATTTGCATATGTTAATATCCTACCTACCAAGAAATGAAATGATACAATTTTTAAAGAACCCAAATTAAGCATTTGTGCAATATACTTCAAAATGGCATGAGTCTTCCATCAACGTATGTTGCATTTAAGCTGAAACCAAGCAGCTGATTAGAAATAGCTTTTTGCAATACAGAATATGTGAGTTGTGTTTCAAGGCAATATTATTATTCTGGCACTTCTTTTCCCTCCACGAAGTTTTGTTCGTGTTTGAAAGCAAATGTGAAGCAGTAATCTTTAACCGGTCATACAAATTTTTAGACCAGTTAGCCCCACCCCATCCCCTACCCTTTAGCTAACTGTGGACATTTGGAACATTGTCTGTTGCTTCCTAAATTTAATTCCTTCTTCCTAAAAAGGACTCATGTCATAGCAACAAAATCCCATGCAACATGAAACTTTCAAATTCCTTAGTTTACCATGATAGCCATACTTAGCTCTTATCCCATTTGAAACATTCTGGAATTATTCTTTCCAAAATTACTCAGTATTATACTGAAAGCAGACAGAAGGAATTCTGGAAAGTTATGCAAAGTGATCTCTTTTCAAAACCTGAAACATGTTGTCTGGATCCTTTATTCAGGCCTAGGGTTTATTGGCAGAGGGCAATTGGATTCCTACAATTTGACCTATCTCTCATTAGAAGAGCAGAGCTGAATCTACTAATTGATTTTCTGACATTCCTCTGAGTTAGCACTGATGATCCTGGTTGGCAAGAACTTTACTAGTAACAAGCACCCTGTGAGCAATTAAAAATAATAACAGACCAATAAAGACATTCATGGGAAGTGCTGCAGGTGACAGCAGCAAAACTTCCACCAAAACTGAGGGAGTCAGATGGATGATGGCTTTGTGATTCCCATGAATAAAGTGTTGCCTCCAACATCACGCATATGGACAGGCACATAATGACACTATAGTTGGATCAATGGTGTCCGCTTGGAGGTCTTACTGATCCCTTCAGGTAAAATCCCACAGCAATTAATTGAACAGTAAAAAGTAAGCTAATGTTTCTGTTTCCTTTAGGGAAAGGAGAAATGAAAGAGAGGACAAATGTCATTTTGATAAAAAAGAGAGAGAATCAGCTAGTCCCTTTTTAATCATTGTATTGTTTAATTGTATATAAATACCTTTAAATAGGTTATATTTTAATTAATGTAGATGTAGATAAGAGTAAAACAACACCCCAAACTTGAAATAATGTATACCTAGACTTGGATTCCAGCTGTGCAAATTAGTCAATGAGGGGGCTTTGGTAAATTCTCAACCTATCTGAACTTTGGTTTGTTTATCTATAAAAGTGAGAGTATTTCTTTTCTTGGCAGGGTTGTTATAAAGATTCTATTTATCCCTTGCTTGGGAGAGGCAAAGATGTAAAATGTAACCAAAATGTTTGTATTCTCACATTTTCCTGAAATAAAAACAAACAAACAAACAAAAGATTCTATTTAATAATCTATTGAGTAACCCCCCCCCCCAGCAATTGTCCGCCATGTAGTAGGTCCTTAACCAATGGTTACTCTTAAAAATATACTTATTACCTCCAAGATATTTTCGTTGTTACTTTGGAAAAATGCCATTCCAAGAATTATCTTTCTATTCATCCACCACTCCCTCTAAGTTATAGCAAAATATTTCCCCACATCTGCGTGTTTCTCTATCATTCCTTTCTAGGCACCACTAGCTGTGTGTTGTAGCACTGGTCCTCTGGCTATTTCCAAATTGTGTGGAGGAGAAATGAACAACTCCATTCATTATTTCCCCTGAGAGGTGACCGGATTAGGTGAAAAGTCAAATCACTGACAGTAGAAACAGTTGTCAAGCAACTGGGAATTGCTCTGCCACATGAATCTCTGTATAAATTTGGGATTAAATGATCTTTAAATAGTTCACCTTTTCTCACATCATTGAAATCTTTATTATATGCATAAAATTTATACCAGTCCTTAATACTCCAGAGCCAGTGGACAATGTTGAGTTCATACATAAATGCACACAAATGGATACCTCTATAATCTAAATGTTTTTATGGAGGGGAGGAAGTGGGTGGAGCCAGGGGAGGTTGGAGCAATGGGCAAAACTCCACCCACTAAATTCCCCTGGAAGGGATTGGAGCTGTGTCCAGCCTGTTCCTCATAGGTACCCAGACCGTGTCTACTTTTAGCCTTGCTCAGGTTCTCTCCCCAGCCTAGACGCCATGCTCTTTGCTCTCTGCCTTCTTCTTGGCCCATTCCTGATTGAAGTCTGAGAAGACATGGGCTTGAAACCTGGTTCTGCCACATATGAGCCCAATAACTTTGGGGGAATTCTGAAAGCAGGCAACACTTCAGTCCTCTCATCCTCATAAAATGGGGATAATAAGAACATCCAACTGGTGAAAAATGAATCACACAATGCTTATAATGCCTAAACTAAGTCTGGTACATTATCCAGGAATCTATAAATGATGGCTAATTTTGGGGGGGGTGTGTGCCTATAAATCCTCTGAGCTATGTCTTTTTTATAATGCTATCTTCAGCCCCGAGCACCAAGCCTGCTATATAGTAGTGTTCTACACATGTTTGGTGAACTTGGTTGTGTCTATCAGGGAAGGGTTAGTTCATAGATAATGGGAAATAAATGATTAAATGATTGGGAACTATATTTTCTTTCCCTAAAGAAATATACCCCACACAGGAAAGAAAAAAACGCAGCCTTCTGGAAAGTTTCTGAGCCAGCTCAACTTTCCAGTCAGATCCATGCCTGAGTTAGCACAGCAGTAGATGATTGCAGAGAAGGTTTGTTAATGACCAGCTTTAGGCTTTTAATGACAAAACCCCTCAGCAAGATGTCATCGAAGTTATTGAAGACTTCACTGAAAGTGTTGAAGCTGATACATTGTAACAAGAAGGTTATAAATCTTGCAGCTTGGATATACCACCAAGACAAGATGCTGAGCACACAATCACCCTGCTGCTGTCTGTCAGCATTCTCCCTCCCCCACCTTTTCCCCTTCCCACGGAGAGCCTGCAAAGGAGAAATCCATCCATTTCCCAAAGTAGCCCAGACCTGGCAGCCACCTGCCTATGCCAATTTCGGATCACAGAGGCCCATTTAACTGGACAAAATGTGTTAAGCACCTGTGTTTTTCTAAATGTGCATAAAAAATACTGAGAATTAAGGAAAGAGCTCAAAGGTTAATACACTGACCTTTCAGAAACACTAACCAATTAAAAATCAATTGCAAGCTCAGAATGGAGACCCCAAAACCTGAATGTATTAAAATAGATTCCCACTATGTGTCTATTGTTTCACCGCTTCTCAAAGGACACATTTGTCACCGTGGCCCCTCTACAGCAGTTCATCTCATAGCTCTCGAAGGGCCCATACGAAATATGCTTGTTTGGCTTTGGGTCCATGCGGGGGGGAATTTGAATTGACTTGGCACTGCTAGCTGGGCCGTTCTCAGCTGCCACTGGATGGCCGCTAGCCACGAGTGGCCGTGTCAGAACACAGCGGGGAGAATGAGGTTCAAAGCCTGGGCACAAGACTTGTTAGTAGGTGCTAGTATAGAGACTTGTACAATTTTTGGTTTTTAATTTTTTAATTGACAAAAATTGTATCTATTGTTTTGTGTGCAATTTGCCATTTTGAAATATGTGTACAGTCTAGAATGGCTAAATTGAACTAATTAGTATATGTTTTCCCTCACATACTTACCATTTTTTGTGGTGAGAACACTTAAAATCTACTCCTTTGGCAATTTTCAAAAATACAACACGTTGTTATTAATTATAATCATCATGTTGTACAATAAGTCCCTTGAATTTGTTCCTCCTTTGTGATTGAAATATTGTATCCTTTGAAACAACATCTCCTGAATCCTCCCACCTCCAGCCCCTGGTAACTCTCTGCTTGTATGAGGTCCACTTTTTTAGGTTTCACATACAATTTGAGATCATCTTTTTGTGCCTGGCTTATTTCACTTAACAACGTTGTTGCGAATGGCAGTATTTTCTGCTTTCCAAGGATTGATAGTCTTCCATTGTGTATGTAGACCACGTTGCCCTTGTACGTTCATGCACTGATGGAACTTAGGTTGATTCCGTATCTTGGCTATTGTGAATAATACTGAAATGATCATGGGAGTGTGAGGAGATATGTCTTTGACATAGTTGATTTTATTCCTTTGGATATAGACCCAAAGTCTATAATGGGATTGCTGGATCATATGGTAGTTCTATTTCTGGAATTTGAAAAGTCAATCTCCAATGTTTGTGTCCCACCAACCTACAAACTTAGACCACACTTAAACTCAGACAGCCAGAGATTACAGAGTTAACCTTCAACAGAGATACGCCACATGGCCTTCCTCTCTTTCTTCCCCTACTTCCATGCTGTGACGTGCTGACCTTCTGCTCTCCCTCGCTGTTGTGAAGTGTGGCAGAGTAGAAAGTGTGGCAGTAGAAAGTCTACAGGGTCTGGAGAGGAAAGATTGGGACTGAGTCCTGTGTTCTAGTGATGTGTCTTTGGGTAACTGGTGTGACTGTGATCTGTTTAAGGGTTTTTAGAGAACATGTACTGTGAGCAAGAGATTCGTGTAGTGCTCAGGAAAGCTCAGAATAATATCTTCACACACACACAC